GGCCAGCCCTCTTGGCTCTGGGTTTGAGAGTGAAAATCAGACAGGCAAGGGGGCAGCCCGTCTGCTGCAGAGCTCAGCCCCCAGCGTCTGAGGGCACCTCGTCTCCCCCACGGCCTGTCCAGCCCAGGCCCGGCAGGGACCGCGCACCTGGAGACCGGGTCTCTCCCTGGGAGACCTTCCTAGTGTCTCTGTTGGTCCCTCTCCTGCCTCATTCTCTGTTTTTGCTGCTAGTCGCATTCCAAACCACAATTTCAGAATCTATTAAAAGAAACATAAAATCCCCAATTGGTTAGAATTCTCAACATTTAAAAATATGACTTATTGTTATTACAGCTGAGCCCGGGCAGCTCCGCCAGCGTTTTGGAACTCAGCATCCTGGCCCGCTGACCCGGCCTGCGTGGGCACTGGCGGGCACTCTCCTCCACGCTTGTCATTTGAAAAGACAATCGTGTCATTTTAAGAGGAGGAGAAACAAGGCCGCTGGATTTGACTCCACGTCTCATTTCATTTTTCAAATACTAGGTTCCGCCTTGGTTTCTCTTCCTATGGAAATGACACGGCCGTGTGTCTCCATGTCTGTGCACCGCACTTGTGATCCAGAAGGGAAAACCCCTTTACACAGCTAATTTGTCGGCTTGCTTAGCTCAGAGAGTGCTCTGGGACCTGTCGCTGAAGTGCCACCCCTCTGGAGTGGAACTTGCTGGTTTTTAGGAGACGCCAGCCAGGCAAAATGCTACATCTCTCCAGAGCTGAGCCAAGGAAAGCTCTGAGTTGAAACAGTCTGGTGGAAGAAAGATCCAGGATGGCTGGCACGTTCTTTCCTCACTGTCCCAAGCCAGTGTACCTGGGCAGGGGGAGAGCAGGCATCCTGCACGGCCCACTGCCCACTGCTGGGGGAGGGGCATACCCTTGGCACATGCGTGACGCTGAAGCCACTGCTTCTCTGCCTTGGCCTGATTTCCTTTGAGAAGCCTCCTCCAAAACCCACAGAGAAATGTCCCTTTCCCAGGGATCAGGGGTAAAGAACAAGCTAGAAATGGTGCCACCTCTGATTTTCCAAAACAGCAGAACCCAACAGATGGTGTCAGCTCCCCTCCCTGCCTGTCCGTCTCCTGTCCCCTGCCCCTTCCCCACCCACGGCCTGGCCTCAGGCAGCAGTGCAGGGATGCAGCTGACCTCTGCCCTCTGCTCTGGCCTCCACCACGTCTCTCCCTGTGGCTGGTGTGGCCGAGTCCCGGGCTGAGCCCGCTTGCTCCCCTGAGCTCTGTCTCCCACACTGGGCTGTGAGCCCCACGCAGGCCGGGCGGTGCGTCTTCCTGCTCCCCTGCGGGCGGCACAGCACACACGCCCAGTCACCTCCAAATACAGGCCACTCGGTCACGGCAGAACTCGGAAGTAACAGAGGCTGTCAGAGGAGTCCAGCGTCTCCGTGGCCCCATCGCACCGTTGCTAACAATATGTGGGGTGGGCACTCAGGCCCCTACGAGTGGGCCTGTTCCCAGTCACTATGGGACGAGGCTGAGCCACACGAGGTGGCTCTGTCCCTACAAGGGCCCAGCTGCCTTCCCGGAGGACAACGTCCCTGTGCAGCAAACGGGGAGGCCAAGGACCCCTGTTCTCAAGAGGGCTTTGGTTCACGCTGCGGAGAGGCCGCTAGCCCCACCCTCACCATCTCGGAGGACGTCTGCCACCCCCACGACGTAGGACTTGAGAACTGCACTTTGTCAGACACTAACAACCCCTTTCCAAATTGTTTTGCAGCAAATGCTGACGGACGGGGAGGTGTCGTCGCAGGAGGGCTGCATCCAGAAGGTAGGAGAGCCGGCTTGACCCTTCTCGCCTCCGTCGCTGGGCGCCCCCTGGGGCGGCGTGACCGAGGCCGGTCGAGCGCGCGCAGAGCGGCGTTTCCCGAGCGGCCGGGGGCTGCTGTCCTCACGGTGGGCAGGTGGGGGCTCCCGTCTCGGAGCCACCTGAGCTCGGGGGACCAGGCGAGCCACGTACCCGCGGCAGGCGCGTGGAAAGGAGAGGCACAGGCTGCGTTTATTTGCCTGCCTTCACCGGGTACTCGCAGGAAAGAATCTAGAGCGGAAAAGACACTACGGGCGGCAGACTCAGCAAAGCCTTTCGCTGGTCTCAGCCTCCTCGCAGGGCTCAGGCGTGGCGCTCAGTGAGCGGACCGCCAGGTGAAAGGCAGTGTCGACGTGGGCGCCGTCGCCTGGCGATGGATGCGAGCGGGCTGACAAACATTGGCTCTAACAGGTCCCGAGAGTGAACCAGACCCAGAAAAATGCACACATCTGCAGGGGCGAGCACACGCTCACGGCAGGCATGTTCCTGCGCGTGCACGCTGCGGGCTCCTCGGCCAGCAGGGGGATCGGGCGCAGAAATCGGCTCCAAAACCCAGAGGCCATTCCTCAGACAGAGCTCGGCGTCTAGAGAATTCGGGCCGTCCACGCACACGCACGTGCACACCAGACACACGTGCACGCGGACACGTACAGACACACACACCCCACAGCTGCTGCGGGGTTTTGGATCTTCCAGCAGAATTAGAACAGCATTTTCTCTCCAGGCGTCAAGGCTTCAAAGCGCCACCT